ATAATTTTCTTAATTAAAACTTTAGAATAACTTTATTTTAATATATCATTATAAAAATTAAAAAAAAAATTTATATTTGATTTGATTTGATTTGATTTGATTTGATCAATTTGATTTGATTTGATTCGATCAAATATTTAATGATTTGATTTGACAATTCGATCAAATTCAAATTAATTCAAATTGATTTGATTAAATATTTGAGTTCAATTCGATTTAATTCAATTCTATTTAAACAAATCAAATCAAATTCAAATTGCTTAAATATTTGATTTGATTTGATTTTGAGGAATCCTACTAACTATATATAAAAATAAAAGTAATAAATTAGTAAATATGTATAAATATATACATATTATTAAATATACTTATTTTTAATAATTTTAAAAAACTTGCATTTATTTTTCAAATATGAATTAACATAAAACTGAAAAACTGAAATCTGTTAAAACATATAATAATTCATTTCAAAAGATAAAAACAAGAAACATTAAATGATTTATTTTATGATTTTTAGTATTTGATCAATATTTTAAAATGCAAATTAGCTAAGAAATAATAAAAATTTTAATTATATGATAACATGCAAATGTGATCAAAAATATCAGTCTAATAGTAAAATTACAAATTGTTATTACTTTACCAAAAATTGTTTTATAACAAATTTGAAATTTTAGTTATATTCTTCTTAAATGATTTTATTATTTTATAATAAGATTTAATATTTAATATTTTTTTTTTTTAAGTGAGAAGTAACAATTTGAGTTTTATTAAAATTGTTAGTTAAAATTAAGTTGTATATACTATATATTAAATATAAATTAGAATCATTAATTTTAAAAAGCAAAAAAACTAATTTTTATTTATAGTATACTGTATATATTAATTATAATGATTAATAATTGACTTTTTAAATTTTTTTGTTTATTTATAAAGGATTATAAAAATATATTAATATTATTTAATTGATGAATTAAAGTTAAAAAGAAATAATCAAATTTTATTTTATAAATATATATTTTTAGCTAAAATATGAATTGTAATTTAAACAATTAAGTTCTAATAATTTTTTTTTTTTACAGTAATCTAATTACATTTTAAAATGTAATAAGATATTAATTTTGATTAAAAAAAATTTTCAGAATCTGATTTTCTTTAATTATAATTCATATATTTTCAATAACCTTTAATAATATTTTGATTCTTATTTTATTATGATATTTAATTCTAATCTTTTTAATAATTGATTTATTTTTGAATTATACTAAGATTTCTTTCTAATTTATCATATGGGAGCTTTGCAATAGAAAGGGTACAATATTCTAAAAAAAAATTTTTTTGAGTTAATAATAAATCTCAACTTATTTTACTAAAAAAATCATATTAAAATTTTAATTTTTTTTCGAGTTTTGTACCTTTCTACTGCATATATATTTAGGAGAATTTTCACACATATTGACAAGAAACTTTATTCTAAAAATTTTTTCAATCTTATATAAATAAACTAAGATTTTATTCGTTAAATTTTATATAGTCATTTTAAAATTATATAATGATTTTAAATGTAAAATTTTATGATCCTAGAAGAAGTTATATTGTTATTTTAGCAATATATATTTTACTTTTGTAAATAGATTATTATGTATCAGTAAAAGTAATTATGGTCAACTGTTTTCAAAAAATAGAAAAAGTATATATTACAAATCAATAATGGTTCCAGCGTCAAAATTTCCCTTACATTTAATTAAAAAGTTTTGATCTTCATTACTTATTATCTCTTTGAAAGTTAAATAACTGCACTTAATAAGCTCATACAGTGCAAAAGATTGTGCAACTGAATCTTTGATAAAAAATGGTTAGACAAACAACTTATTTTAAAAATTGATGAAAGGAGACTTTGTAACAGAACAGAAGTGGGTCATTTTAATAAATATTTTATCTGTAAATAAAGTATGAAATGGATTTACGAGGAAATCTGGACGTCTTAGAACGTTAACTAAATGAAATCCTTTTAAAGGCAGAAACATTTTTTAAGATTTGATTTTGAAAGAGAAAACGACGAGCGGGAGGTTTAAAAATAAAAAAAAACTTATTTTTATTTGTTTATTTTCATCCAATTGATCTAATAATTGGGTAGATAATATATATTATTATTTTTAATTTGCGAATACCTTTCTTTTAAAATTCAATACAGGGAAAAAAAAAAAAAAAAAAATTTTTTAAAAAAAAAAATGAAAATGTCCAATATTTACTTTCTTTTACTTAGAAAAAGCAAGCAATAAAGCAAGTTTAAATTGTATATATGTATGTATATTAAAAAAAAAAAAAAATTTAAAAAAAAAAATTTAAAATAGTGGACCATTGAAAGAAATCTATTAAAGAAACAAGATATTCAGACATTTAAGATTTTGTCGGCATAAGAAAATTTTCCAGATGAGTATTGGTAATCTTAAGTTTTCTATTTGTTTGTTTTCTCTTTCGCTGTTTTGGTCTGTCTTCGGCACGAGTTTTATTCTCGAGTACCGCCATAGTTTGTAAACCAGCTGTTAATTATCAAAAACAGTTGGTATAAAGTAAAGAAAAAAGATAAAAAGATAATCAAATAAAAAAAACAAACCGTCTTCAAGTGATTTCTTCAAATCAATCTCATCTGGTACTTTAACGTTATGAAACATTTCCACGAATTCTAAAATAAGAAATTTAGATAAACATAAAATTAAAATATTAAAAAACTAACATAAGTCCATAGGTGTAGAGTCATTGTAATATAACAAACCTTTGTCCATAGGAGTATTATACTTTAGGTCATTGTAATATAATAATCGAGGTGATGAATCCTTCATCAGACGTATCACCATTATTTTACCCTCACTTTCTAATTCCTTTTGATTTAAATAGGGAGAGCAACCTTTTATTAATACAATTTAAGACATTTAAATTAATTCAAAAAAAAAATAATAATCATATCAAAAAAAAAAATGAACCTGAATCGCATTTGACAAATCTATGCAATCGTCTAATTCCCTAAATGGCATTCCACACGAAGCCCCAACTTTTTCTTGTCTTTCTTTCAAAAGGTTTAACAAATCTTCCTTGGTTCTGATCGCATAATCTGGCTAAAATAAAATAAAAATGATGATATAGTATAAATGATATTTCAAAAAAAAAAAAAAAAAACTTTTTTTCCAATTTTATATTATCTACCTTGTATTGAAATGTACAATCAGCACTATTATACTTGATTTTTTCATTTTTAATCATAAGGTTATAAAGGTCTTTATTGGAAATGATATCAGCGATATTGTTTGTTTTGAGATCTTTAGCTGTTTGTGGGACATCCATTCTATCCTATGATGATGAAAAGTTGAATATGAATGAGTTCACTAAGAAAGAAAAGAAAAAGAATTACAAAGAATTGATTTATTTGCCTTCAAAAAACGAATGACTTTATGAAGCTGACTCAAAGTATGTCTTACGACGCCAGTATCACTTGGTTGCGAATAAACTAGCATTCAAATAAAGATGATAAAGTTTTGAGTGAACTTCTATTTTTAAAAGTAAATAACTACAAGAATTTAGTAGTTTGACTTTACCAGGCTTTGGTTTCTTTTTCTTAGAAATTGGTAACGGATCTGCATTTGACCTTTGTGCAGAACCTTGTGAAATCGAGGAAGCCGCATTATTTGTAATCTTTGGAGATGCATAAATAGGTTGAGAGGCTAGGTGCTTTTTAAACGTTGCAATTGATTGACTGCTAAGATCAGACATTGTATATGAACGACACTTGGAAAAAGAAAAAGAACCTTTTTTTTACTTGACCAGTAAAAGTAAAGTAAAAAAAAAAAGAATGAGTGAGGGAATGTTGATTTATTTTCCAACTTGAAAGTCGAACAACAAATAATTAATTTAAAAATATTTTTAATTGTGATATAATACATATAATTACCATAAAAATCTCCTAATATAACAATAGCAGATTTTTATAACCAATAATAGAATGATTGATTGAATCAGCCAACTTTTAAGGCTTTTCGCATCCGCCTTTTTTTTTTTAAGCTGTTGTTTAATGTAAAAAAAAAAAAAACTAGGCTTTTTCAGTAATATCTCATTTTATGTTGGTTATTTTGGTCGAGAACAAAATTATTATCGATTCAATTCATTACGGTGATTACCGAAATCAATTAAACTTAAAAATAATAATATTAATAATAATAAAAAGATAGGTAATATCATCTAGTTGAAAATTTATATAAATTTTTTTTTTATTTCTTTTTCATTTCATTCCATTTTTTTTATGCAATTTAAAGCTTATAATTAATCCATACATAAATAATTGCAATTAAAGAAATTCAAAAATAGTAAAGAAAAAGATATTTAAATAACCGACATAAATACAAAGAAAATATGCTCCGTCGGCTTAAAAATGACGAAAAGATAATGCTAGGAAATTAATAAGTAAAAGAAAAAAGGCTATATACATAAAGTAAAATTGTACCCATTAGATATCTTACTCTCTTTGAATTGATAATTGAGTGCATTTAGTAATAATTATTACTCTAGATTAAATAAAGGGAAAAAAAAGGAAAAAATAAATGCTAGGATATTTCACAATTAAAAAAAAAAAAGCTCAACAATCCAGCTACCAATTTTAAACAATAATTGAAACCCTTGACTGCATGCATTAAAATATATTTGCAGCTTTAGTTCTCTAGTGTTTTTTTTCTTATAGGTGGATAAATAAAATCTTGAGCCATATGGATTATTCGTTTTATTCATTTGATTTTAATGAAATGATATCGTGGAGCCTTCTGATTGTTTCACTTGAAAATGAATTTTGTGGAGCTTTCGAATTGTTTCACTTGCGAACATCAATTGGTTGATTGAAGACTCGTGAAATGTGCGTCCCTAAATTATATTTTATAACTTGAACTGTAAAAATGTGAGTATATCCTATTTATCTTCCAATTTACCCAAAACAGCTTCTAAATCTTCTTCAGGTACAACAGGACCATTTCCTGAACATTTAGCCTTAGATTTTAGCTCAGCACAAAGTAGATCGATTTCGTCACCCTCTAAATCGTCAAACTTTGGATGCTGTTGAATTCTTTCCCATACCTTATTACACGATAAGAACTTTTTACTACTAAAGTCATCCATCGATGCAAATCCATTACTATGTATTAATTGACCATTCATGCGTTCTTCAGATGGTGTAGCCATTGGAGCGAAACTTCCGAATTCTTGAAAGTTTTGTTCAAAAAGTGGTGGAAGCGGGGCAGATTCAGAGAAAGGATTATCAATATTAGGAGTAAACGGTGTTGGGTCCCGATACTCCGTGAATGCAGATTTACTAGATTCTCCTATCGCTTGTGATGAGATCAATTCTTTATTTTTCTTTTGTTCCTGACACATACCATCTGTAAATTTTTCACAAAACTCTTCCGCACTCTGAGGTTTTAAAGAGTGTGAAGGTGGAGTTGTGACAACCGTAGTAGGTGGACTGATGGTAGTGGCTTCCAGTGGACTAAAATTATATGCTTGTGGAATTTTAGGGGAATTTCTTGAGGATGTACCTCTTACTTCAGAGGTGTAATCTGATTCTGCTGAGCCTGACATAGATGGTGAACTTTGTTCATCATCACTCACGTTTGAAGATGGAGGTGTATATGAACTAAATGTGGAACTACTTGTCGTTGGGACTGTTAATGTATTTGAAGTTGACTTTGACGTTGGCGCAAGAATATCACTAATATCTTTGTCGAGAGCAGTAGTCGAGTCATTTGCTTTGTCCAACGGAAAGTCAAAAGTGAAACTCGTTTGTTTTAATATGAAATTTTCTGCTTGTAATTGTTCAACAAGCGTCTTCAACTCTTGATTCTCTTGAACACTTTTTGCTGACATGGATTCAAGTTCTTTGATTTTATCTTCAAGCTCTTTAACATAACGTTCCTTTCGTTCTCGAAACGCACGTTGTGCTGCTCTATTTTGTGCCTTGCGTTTCTATGAGGAAAGAACAATGAAGAAAATAATAATATTATTATTATAATAATAATAATAATAATAATAATATAATTATATTAATTAAAATTAAAATAAAAATAATTAAATGCTTTTAAATAAAAGAATCAAAATAAAAATATATATTAAAAAACTTACTGAACTAGGAGTATTGTTTAATGGTTTTCTACCCGGTTTTTTTTTCTGGGGCTCATTCGTTTGCTCAGAGTGAGAATCAACATTAGCTTCCGAAGCAGCTTTTGATAAACAAAAGTAAAAACAGAAAACAAAATCAGAGTCAGTTAATTGCTCTATTAAAATAAATTGAAAATAACATATAGGAGATTTTTTTTTTACTTTCAGCCGTAAGATCTGGATGGGGCACAGAGGTAATATTTAAATTATCTAAATATAAGACAAGTTTGAGAGATTAAGTAATAGATTACAACTACAAGAAGGAAAAAAAAAGAAAAAAATTTCAAGAATCACAATCTAAGACAACGTTAGATTTATACTATATTTTGTACTTACGACTAACTTTGGACGGATTTTGTTGAGTTATGTCTTCCAACATTTCTAACTTTCGTTTTTGGTCCTCGTCATATCTAAACTGATCATTATGCGCAATGGCAGCGGCTAATAACTTTTGAGCCTCGAAATTATCTTCAAGATTAAAATCCCAAGGGAAATTCGGATCTCCCATACCGAAAACACTGTCGGAATTATCAAAGTTTGTTGTGGGGTAGTAAGGTTCCATTGGAATTAAAAGTAAAAAAAAATTCACAAAAAACAAAAGGGGTTAATCAAAAGATGATTCTGGGAAAAAACATTAATGACGGAATTTTTTAACTCTTTATAAAAAAAATGAATTTTACCCAGTGACAATGGAAAGAATAAACGAAAATTAATATGATTGATTTGATTGGTTATTTGCATATACGTCATTGTTTAATAAGATTCCATATATGTATATGTTGATGTAGTACCTGAAACTTCCAAATTATTCGGTAATATAAATGTAATAACGAAAAATTTTTAATGTCTTACTTTTAGAGAAAAATAAATAAAAATCGAGTGACACTGATGACCGATTTTCCTTTTGATTTACATACAAAAATATATTGGATTGGTATAAACAGTTGAAAACGTGGGTATAAAGAATTTTTGTGATATACCAATTATGTAACGTTAATGCTTGAATGAGACACGAGATAGTGTAGAATTTTCGAGCCAACTTACTCCGGCTTTCGAGATATATAAATAATATATACAAGGCACGAGATTTCCAAAAATATGCATCCGCAGAAGATATATCCAATTGCCGAATGCCAAAGCGGCAAATTTTGTCCCGGAACATCCTTACTTATTTTGAAAGGAATTATCCGACATATAAACAAAACTGCATAGTGATAAGAGGTACCTATCTTATTTGGATATCCAATACGTTGAATAAACGAGATGTTATTGGTTTCGTGCTAACTTATTATGGTACTTTCTTTACTTTACCTTCATTTCTTGGGGAAAAAAAAATAAAATCTATAATTTTTTTTTGTTTTTAGATAGTCGATAAATGTTTGTGTTTGTAACTTTATCTTTAATATACGCCAAAAAAAAAATTTCACATGTATAATATAATTTGGGATCGAAATTTCGACCTTTTTGTCGAAAAAAATGTTTCATGTACCCTATTGGTTATATTGAACTAATTTTCTTTTTGTAAGCAATCTTTGTAACTATAGTAATAATGTAAAGTTTTTTTTTTGGTTTATATATAAGGGAAAGCTCCAGCAACCCTTTTTAAATGTGGAGGAATATTTTATTTCTTTGTAAACCTTATTCTTTAAGTGTTCATCAAACCAATTTTAATTTAATTCGTGTAATTCGTGCAATGTCTATCAAGTAATGAAAATTAAAAATTTTTAATATTTACGATTTATGCATATATGAAATATTTTTTTTAAAATGAATTTTGTTAAAAATAGCAAAGACCAAACTACAATCCTTAATTGGGCTTCGGCTGACGGTGAATTCCGCAGAAAGCCCTCTGATTTTCGTAATACAATTAGCAATGAACCTAATGCGCCCTTTTCTGCTGAAAAGTAAATTTGTACTAATTTATTTTTTATAAAATTAAAATTTAAAAAGAGAAATTTTTCATTTCATTTCATTTTATTTTCACAATACAGAGATCGTTATCATTTGTATATTAGTTGGGCCTGTCCTTGGGTAATTTTGTTTCTATTTTTATTTATTTTTTTATTTATTTTGTTTTTTTTTTAAAAAATAGTTATGCATTTATTGGTTAGGCTCACAGAACCGTAATTGTCCGTGCACTTAAAGGCCTCGAAGACCTGATTGGGTTAAGTGTTGTCGATTATTTAATGGGTGAAAAAGGATGGAAATTTAGTACACCCGAAGAACAACCGGGTTCCATTCCAGATCATATTAATAATGCTCAATATATTCGTGAATTATATTTCAAAGCTAATCCCAATTATGAAGGAAGGTTGGTATAATATTTGATTTGAAACTTTTCGTTTTTTTCACAGTGAATGAAATTTAGCCCATTTATCTCTAATATTGTTTAATATTGTTCTTAGATTCACCGTTCCAGTTCTTTGGGACAAAAAAACTCAAACAATAGGTAATTTTGATTTATTTTCGTTTTTTTGTAACAAAAATTTTTATTGTCTGTCTATGTATTATTTCCAAAATTAGTAATATAAAATTCTTGCGCCAATCGTTATCACGTGACTTTCTAACATTTTCGCAATATGTTCACTCGTTAGTTAATAACGAATCCAGCGAAATTATCCGTATATTCAATGATGCGTTTGATGATTTCACCCCAGCTGCAAAAGGCAAAACTTATTATCCTGAACATTTACGCGCACAAATCGATGAAATTAACGAATGGATTTATGACACAGTTAATAATGGGGTATACAAATGCGGTTTCGCTACAACTCAAGACGCTTGTAAGTTATATATTATCCCGAAATTATTATATTTTAAAAAAATTAATTAAATTTGCTTTGTTTTCCTTAGATAATCGACATATTGAACCGTTATTCAAATCGTTGGATCGAATAGAAGAAATCCTTTCCAAACATGAATTTCTCGTTGGAGATACCTTTACTGAGGCTGATATTAGACTTTGGACAACCATAGTGAGGTAAATCATAAAATCAAGTGGGAAAAATTTTCATTCCTCAAAAATAACTGACGCATATCGAATTAGATTTGATCCTGTGTATCACACGCATTTTAAAACCAACAAGAAAACGATTGCACATGATTATCCAAATATTCTTCGTTGGACTAGGCAAATTTATCAATTTCCGAAAAGTAAGGCATAAAGCGAAAAATAATATATTTTTTTTTAAAAGACTTGTTATGTTAAAAATCCCCTTTTTTAGTTGCCGATACCGTTAATATGCATCATATTAAACATCATTACTTTGAAAGTCACAAACAAGTTAATCCGACTGGAATAGTACCAATCAATGATGGTCCAGGTACCTGATCATGGCATTCAAGTCATTAGTATGTGCGGTATATATATCAATTAATCCTTTTCTTTTTATTTTTACAGACCTCGCTCATCCTATTATTAAAACCAAAAATGCTTAAAATGATTACATGTATATCTCGTATTTTGTTTTTATAATAAATCATAAGCTATTTTGTTTCCTCTATGAATTTTTTGATTTCCTTTACGTATCCTCTATGAATGTATGTATCCATATGCAATGCTTTGTCAAATGTTATCCATACTTTCTTTTCGGATTTCTCAGCCAATCTGAATAGTTCCAACATATGTTCCCGAGGAACGATCTCATCATTATATGATGATAAGAATAATATTGGAGTGGTAATCCCCTGAATTGCACGTGAATTTTCCCATTTATTCCAAAGTATAAATGGTAGACGTACAATATATTTATATGGTAACCACTTTTGAGGATAAATGCTAAGAACCATGTCCTTTATGGAAGTAAAGGTATTCTCAATTATAATTCCTCTTAAATCTTTTTGAATATTTGGTTGGGAAGCTAAATAGAGTGCAACAGCACCTCCCAAAGAATGTCCGTATACATAAAGAGGATTTTTGGGGAAGAGTTCCCTCACATATTCATAAATTGCTATTGCATCTTTCTTAAGTCCGTATTCAGAAGGTGATCCAGTTGAAAGCCAATAACCTCTATAACTTATAGCGGCAATATGCAAGTTTGGAATTGAATTGTTTGGAGATAGTAAAAGACGAGAGAATAGTGGTAAGCGAAGTAATGTATTACCAGCATTGCTATGGATCAAAAAAAATTATTATTACGAAGCGAAATAAGTTTATATTTATTTATTTATTTATATTTACCCTTGTAGATAAATCATCACTGGAGCATTGATAACATCTCGCACATCATCTTTTATCGACGTTGTTTTTGTCCTCAAAATAATTCCAGCTAGCTCGTGCATGTCACTGGTTTTAACTTTTACTTGTTTACTTATTAACCTTTTATCAATCATTGACTCATCTAACGCAAGTTTACGTCCATCCCAAGGTAAATATGGCATGTATATCAATTTATTTTGAAATAACACCAATGCGGTACACTTTTATAAGAAAAAAAGAAAGCTTTTTATTACATTTCATGAATGAAAATATACTACATTAACATACTAAACCTTGTAAAGGTAAACTCCTAATGGAACTCCAAAAAATAAATATAGCATCGTTGTCCATGAGAATTGTATCATAGGTTCATTGAAAGCTAAAGAAGTAAAGATTCTATTTTGCGTCAAACTAATCACTTTTTTTTGAGACTTAATCATCGTTGAAGGATTAGGTCTATCAAATTTTGTACAAACATTGTTAACCAATGTGTTCTTTGTTAAAGTTGAATGATTTAAATGAATTATGTAATTAAAAATCAACTTATGAATAAAAAATTTTCGCATTATCAAAAGAATTTAAATTTTTTTTTTTATACGATAAAGATATTGCAATGATTAATTGATATCTACCCAAATCACTGTCACGTGACCATATTTAATCGCGCAGTGTCTGATATTTGTCATATTGGCACAGCAAACAACTTTTCGAATTTATCTAAAAAATCAAAATACTCATCCTCTCTATAGTATTCAATTTTATAAAAGTTTAAGATATATTATAATCTAAAAAGTATTTAATATAATAAAATATAATACATGATAATAGAAATCTTAACTAAATATAAATAATAAGGTAATAAATATAATGTTAATTTTTTTATTTATTAATCAGTGATAATTAAAAATAAATATTACATAATTATATTAAAGTTATTAAAGACTTTAATAATAATAGTATGCTTATGAAAAATTCATAATATTATATTATATGAAGAATTCAAAATAAAAAACTGTTGCAAATAGGTTTGATATTATCAGCATGATAATTCATTTCTATCTCTTATGTAATAATAATTCACTTTCATTTTATTAATCAAATCTAAATCCTTTGTTTCTTTTATTAAAGACTTGATTAATGTTATCCATAATACAAAACAGAAATCTCCTGCAAAGTTTTCAATCTTAGAAAATTCCACATCTTATAGTATTTCAAAAAGCTTGACTTCTTAAACTAGCAATACATATTTTTATTTATACAGTCAACTCTTTCTATAGCGAATTTTGATATAATGAATTTCATAATATAACAGATCTACAGTGTAATACAGATTTTTAAATATAGAAAAAAAATTTTTTTTAATG